ACACACACACACACACACACACACACACACACACACACACCCTCACACACACCACAGCTGCCGATCGGTTGACCAGCAGCACTCTGCTTTGAATGGTTATCGCCAGCAGGTTTATTTCGGCGGTCATGATTGACAAGCAGTAACGATGACTTGTAGTGAGCACCAGCTGTTGTTCTACTACAGACTGCAGCTGCTTGGCACAGTCTTCTGCTGGTGTTTGAGGCAGTAACTCCCATATGTTTGTGCTCCCTTGCTATTTGGCCAGCATTTTTTTAGAATCCCCTCCAAATTTCACTTTTTTTCTACACCGTGCTAAGAGCTGTTACAAAACCCCATCCAATTAAAATCCCATCACCAAAATATAAACGTGTGTGTGAGTCGGTGTGAGGACATTACCATGTGAATATCTTCAGAGGTTTTGATTGCACCCCGCCCACCGTCCTCCAATCTCGCTCCTAAAATGAAACAGGGATGCATAACTAGATTTAAGGTTATGTAATGCTGACTGGAGGCATAGAAGATGTGTATAATCCACTTCAATTTGGGTTAAATCCATCTCCCTCTCTGCACGTCTGTTTGTAAGAAGACAGGGACCTCACATCCTCACACATCTCTCCTCTGCATCATCAGGCTTGAAAAGCACCAATTCCTGCTGCAAAGTCTTTCACCAGCTGGCTCCACGTATTTCTTAGTGCCAAGAAAATCATCTCACAATGCACTCATGTCTCTGGTTGTCTCCAGTTTTCTCTAACGAGGGGGATTTTAGTGTTATAAGATTGACAAATATCTCCTCCAAGCCCAGAAAGGATCAGTCTCTTAGTTTAATTTAGTTTAGTTTAGTTTAATTCATGCTTTTTGTCTCCCCAAGATTGATAGCAATGATTTACCTTAGTTTCATTTCTGATAAGAAAGATTTAAAATGAAATGAGCTTGTGTTTTAGGGGGGAACGTTAAGATAAAAAAAAGGTTTGCAGGTCTTAAGTTCACCTTCAATTTACTTGTATTTTATTGATGTTTAGTTTGATCTGGACAACTTTGCTCTGTACTCTTTAGGAAAAATCTCAAGTTTGATGACATCAACTGCATTTTAGACAGTAAAATAATCTCACCTTGTTAGTCTTGTGACAGTAATGTCCATTGATTAGACTGTGAAGATTGTGCTTTATGACTTTCTGGGGAGATTAGTAGAGCAGCTGCATGTCAGAGCAGTTTTGGGATTAAATTTAAATGCAGTACTCAATTATGTCTTTGCAACAATAAAATGTAATACATTTAATTATTAAAGAAAGAGTCTGTGAAAAAATGTTTGGGTTTTTAGACATGTAATATGAAAAAGAGCAGAACAATCAAAAATATAAGGTCCAGTCAATTTTTCCTTAAGAAACTATCCTTCTATACATTTTATTTTATTGTTTTTTTAAAGCTTTTCCAGTACAGGCCTCATACATACAGTATCAACCTCTTCGAGTATTTACCTTCATCATAACCCTCAAAAATCTGTATTACTCAAATGCGGGGGCGAGGAGGTGGTGGTGGTGGTGGGGTGTGTGTGTGTGTGTGTGGGGGGGGGCGTCAGGTGGATTATCAACCGTGGAAAAAATAAAGAATATGGGGCAGAGATAACAGTGCCTGGTTATGGCTATTTAATTTTATTTATTGTTTTTTTTAATGTCCTACAGGCTCAGAGATGAAAAATTTATCTTAAGCAGTTTTTGAAAAAATCTGTGAGATTGTGCAATATGTTTGTATACAGTATCTGCCAAATGGGTTATAATCTGTGTCTTATGGACAATCCATACAACTTCATATGTATGAGAACTGGATGCTTCCAGCAGGAATATCATAACATCTTTGCCAGAATAGCTCTGCAATGTGAAATTAATGTCACTGTAAAGATTTAAAAGGTGTTTGTATGAACTTTTATGAAATCTTTTAACAACAGCAGCGGTTCACTTGGCTCCTGACGGCTCCTAACCAAGCTATTAGCTCACCAGCGTGATCAGAATTAAACTGTTTCCTCAAGCTGACATAGTTCAAACCGTGATCTACAACAGATAAGTCAGGTTAGGTTAATAGTTCATAACCTTTTCATAGAACTCACTTCAAAAGGTCAGACCTGTCCTTTTAGGTTTCATTAGTTTCAAAACACACTTTCTTTGTTCCACAGTCATGCATTCTTTCTTATACTCTTATAAATTTTAACACTGTAGTAAATTGAGAAACAATGAGGCGCATGTTTAACCTTTTTTGTATTTCACTGCAGTTAAAGTGTCAAACATTTTCTTTAACATTTGTTTTGTGAAAATACATTTGCCATTAAGAAAAACATGATCAGCCTGCGCACACAGACCTACAGGCATGCCACAGTGTGATGAGTGTAATCTTGGATCCACACAGCTTTAATCCCCATCAATATTAAATATTTGATGGCTTTCTCATTGATGGAGCATGACACCTGGGCAGCCCACCTCCCCGGCTGGCTGTGCGTCCCCGTGGGAGGGGCTTGTTCCTGACAGGAGTCTTTATCTCAGGGAAAGCGTCTGAGCCAGCAAAACCGACAAGACCATGAGTGCAAACACTAACGTATGCAGAACATATTTTATTTTTAACTAGGTGTGGTCTGCATAAATCAGGATGGCACGGCAGAGGATGCAGCAGTAGAAAAAAAACAATGTTTGGTTCTGTTAAATATAAATGTGTGTTTATGTGTGTGACAGGGAGAGCGATAGTGCTGCTGTATCTGGTTTTCCTTTTTTTTTTTTTACAATCTGACTTCTGCTTGCCTTGCGGGGACTGTAATCATGGTCGTCAGCACAGGCTGGTTGCTAGGTAACAATTACCTGACTGTGCTTTGCTTGCACTGCATTACACAGTGGGTCGTGTGCATGCATATGTGTGTGTGTGTGGAGTGAAACAGGAAAATGCAGCAATGTAGAATACCAAGCAGCCTTTTCAGGTCTGGGCAGAAAATATTAACGACCCAAAGCAGATTCAGCTGTTTGCAAACAAATCCCTGAGGCTGAACCGCAGCTTCAGTGTTGGTATTGTTTACACTGTGTTAATGTAAAAATCTGTCTCTTTTAGATTTGTTATGTAATTCAGTCATTTTGATGGAAACACCGTGATTTGCGTTTAGATGTTTGAGGCTTAAAATGACCCATGTTGCTTCTGGTCATCATGGATCCATGTTTCAAAAGTGGATTTTTTTTTTTCGCTTTCTCAGCAGCAGCCTTGGTGTTTCTGAGTTGATTGTCCTTTTTTATTTATTTTCTCTAGTCTCCCAGCAGCCCTTCCTGTCAGTCTCTATAGCACTTCCTGCTTCCTTCCTGGTTTGTCTTAAACATGTTTACACACTTCCTGTTCCTATCGTAATGCAATGGACAAATTTAGAAATTATAGCTTTTTTTTTCTTTAATGCAGAGACTCCGAGACATAAATTGTTGGTATTTCAATGCTCCAATTAGTACAGTCAGCAGACTCTGCCATACAGAGACACTGAGACCAAAAGGACTCCTCTACTGTGATATGAGGCCGACTAGAGCACCCCCCCCCACAAAAAAAAAATACTGCTTGCCAGCTCTGGCAGACATGGATGATATATTTGGAGATCATTAAAAGGTCCTAAATGAGACCCTGGCGTGAGAGCAAGCTCTGACCATCTGGCCCCATTGTGAGCGATGCAGCTCTGTTCAAACTCAGCCAGCACCATCGGCACATCTGATTGGATGGAAGCCGACTGTGCTTGAACGTTTCAGCCAATCAAAGACAGTTTTAGTGAATTACTGAAACCTGATTTAGTCTTCCTTTCTCTTGTGAAATGACCGACCGTTTGTCACACACTGTGGGTCTTTCTATTCTCTGATCAAATTGTGACTTTTGTTTGCACATTCATTTTGTTCCTCTACTATGATGAGCGGTCATACTTTTGGTCTGTGTTTCCTACTTGTGTGTGTTTTAATGCAGTAAAGACAGAAAGTTTTTTTATAAGTAAGGTATATAATTTGCTGTTTTAAATAAACTGACAGGATGTTATTAATTTTGTGTGACTGTTGCAGATGCCTTTGCTCAGTCAGTGTTTGTACAGTCATCATGTTGCCTTTATATTCAGTCTTTAATTAACTTTATTGGGTTTTACTTTAAGCATTTTTCTCTGTCTGTGTCTTTCAGGTCACAAACTCAACAAGGACCTGAAGCACTTTCTGAGCTTGAGGTTTCAGAAGTCATCGCCTGACCACGTGTTGCAAAAGACAATACGAGCCAATCTATATCGTCATGCCGTGCCTTGTGAGTAAAAACAAGGGTTGTACAGTAACATTGTTACATGGGCATGTTGTAACCCTTGAGTCAAACACTCTGCATTTTCTCAGACAGCACATTTGGGCCTCTTTATGTCACAGTTGGATCTTTGGCCATGGGACAAAATCCAGCTCTGCTCTGTTTTCCTGTTGTACCTGTACCATGTTAGTGTTGTACAAGTTGTTGGTTTGCTCAGTAAAGCCACGAATCTGTGTGTGTGTGTGTGTGTGTGTGTGTGTGTGTGTG